GTAAAAATAGATTTATAAATTCATAAATACACTGAACTAGCAGAGAGAGAAGTACAAAATCAGCCTACTGACAATCAACTTATTAAAAATAATTTTAAGATAAACGTATAACTGCCATTAAAACTACCAAAATTACATTTTCCTCTTTGCTTATTTATGTCATGATTGGTTGGTTAAGTCACCCTGACTTACATTACTCCATCTATTTTATATGCTGTTGCAAATAAGACAGTATAAATAGTTTTATAATAAATACAGTCAATAACTTAAGACATTCATCCTTTAAAAATTAAATTAAACTCCATTATATAGTTATAATATGTAGAATATAGCAAGTACATTATCAGTGTTCCTGGCATCAGACTGATCACCTAACTACTGATAGGTCACATTTAGCCAAATCTCTAGTATCTTAAAGTTATTTTTTCATTCTGGCATATTACATTTCTGCTGACGAGTACACTTTTGTTGTATTTTGCATAAATTGTTCATATTTCTGTAAAACCTGCCAGATGTACATCTTCTTCTCTGCCATTCTCATCCTCTGGACCTGGCTCTGATCTGTCTGCAGGAAGTTCGTGTTCTTGCAGGTGTAAAATGCAGCTCGTTCCCTCAGTGTTACAGCTAGCTGATTGATATTTGCATCGACAAACCGAGTTAAATTCCTACCACAGATTAGCTCTATATCGCTTCTCACGTTTTGCAAAATGCTGTAAAAAGTGTGGAAAATGCAGCAGTCGGCGTCAAAAGCTGGGCATTCGGGTATTTTCTTCACCATGGCTTTGGCTTGGGAGTTAGCAGTTAGCCACCGTGCAGTTTTGGGTGTTACAGAGCTACACGCGTTCTGGAGGGGTGGAAGAGGAGAGAGAAATTATTCATCTTTTGTTTCACACTTTTCGTATTTGAATGTAGGCACATACACACCTATCTCAGTCTGTGTATGCCTGGGGGGTTTTGTTACTGTTCAATAGCTGTATTAACACCTACACCCCTTTTATCAAGTAGGTATTGCACATTATCTGTGGCTGTGATTGCACAGTACTTTCTATCTTAATATCGTGCTTGGCTTTGTTTTCAGCTTTTCTAAGTCTTTTTTCTTTCCCCCCCCCCCCCTCTCCCATATGGGCAAAATTTACTCATGCAAGAGATTTGCTTTGGCCTGAGTGTATTTTCATCTGTTCCAGCAGAGATGGTTTTGATTTCAAGAATGAATTCAGAAGAAATGTTTACATTGATTTTTATCAATGTACTCTTGGGAACCTGTTCCCAGGAATTGTCTGAAGCATTGACACTTGGGTTCACTGCACATTTTTCCATCTCCATGGAAAGGATGGGTGAGCAGGATTTTTGGCAGAAGTGCTCCTGAGTGCTCTAGTACTAGGATCAGACCAAAGAAGGCGGCCATTCTCTCCATGTTTCCAGTGATCTGACTACTTTCCTCCAAAATGATGCTTGCTTCAACTCCAGCATGACTCAGGAGACCGAGAAGGAACAATGATTCAGTCTGGAAGGTCACAGCTAGCAGTTAGCTGAGGCAAAGCTGCCCAAGCTTTCCTTAGCTGTCCTAGACATCGCTCCAGCTCTGCCCTAAAATAATGTAATGTAATGTTTTCCTTCTTGTATGGAATACCGAGAAGAGATATTTTAGGTTCTAACCCAAATATATCTTTTCTAATGGTCTTCCTGCTGTTTTATAATAATTCAAGAGATTCTCCACAGATACAGTAAACACAAAATTGTACACTTACGTAGTTTTTAAACAAGGCAGTCGCTTGCTTTTCTATCACTGATGCCAAGGGCTTTATACTGGTAGTAAAATGCTTCTGTCTTTGTCCTGTAGTAGATTTGCTTTCTTCTGAGGTAGCTGTTGGTGCCAAGGAGCCCAAAGAAATCAGTGAACAGAAGAGGAAGATTGCAAACCTGTTGATCTCTGCATTCAAATGCAGAGGGAAAAGAAAAAAAAAAATACAATGATTAGTCTCGAGCCTCTACATAATTTTTGCAAAACTTCCTGGTTTTATGCAGCATGCTAAATTCTAAAGCGTGTAGACGTTAAGTGCCTGATCTAGTGATGAACATCAACCAATGCAACCTTACAGCGCGTGGCAAGGGTAAGTCCCACCCACCTGCTCGGCGTTTCATGGTGGGCTCGGAGAGCAGCTGGCTTGGCCGCGAGCTGGATAGCGGTGTTCAAGCTGCTTGTTGCCTGGAGTGCTGGAGATGTGGACAGCCAAGCTGCATTTAAGTACCGTGGAGTTTTGCGTCAGTGGCTCCTCCATGGTTTTTTTTTGCGGGTGATGGTTTGGGGTTTTTTTCTTTTTTGAAAGATTACATCAAAAGTTGGTTCAAATGCGTCTGCACTGATTGAGATCTAGGTGCAGTTTCAAACTGACACAGATGGTGACCTGTATCATCTATTTGACTAGGAGTTCAGGACCCTTGGCTTAGCCATCCCATCTAAATCCTCAGGTTCTCCAAAATGTCGATTTTAGAACATAAACTCTGTTGTTTTTTTAAAAAACATGGTTGGGGCACGCAAGCACATATTGGTGCCCAAGGCCAGTAACCTTCTCCTGCAGGGTCAGTGTAAGAGTGGGCTAATGTGGGGAGTGAAAAAGCCATGAGGGGCTTGTGTGCAGGGCAGATCCGGCCTCCAGGTCAATATAAATCCCTTTGCTGGATGTCTGTAAGACCCTGTCCCTGGGGTGTGACCACCTCACATAACCCAGCAGAGGGTGTCCAGGATCCCACCTCCCCATCTCCGTCACCCGTCTGACTCCCCTTGAGGCTATTTTCTGTTTCCAGTAACTCAATTCTCGTGCACACCAAACCAGAGAAAAATCATTCTGAGGAATTAAAAGTATGAAGCTGTGATCAGAAGAGAACCTGCGAACTTATCGATAGTTTAGGACAGAAAGGAGGGTAGAGGAAACCCCTGTGAACATACTTCTGTGAAAATGCAAAGTGACACAAACGCACTTGTGCTTTCCACCTCTATAATAAAAGATGTGCCTGAAAGGTATTCATAGACTAAAAGGTGAACGTTTGTCAAGTCGCCCGAAAACTGTCACAGAACGATGGCTTGGTGTCAAAATAATCAGTTCTCTTTTCCACGTGAAAAAATCTATCTGAAAATAAAAAGCTTGGTGTGTGCATGAACTCCTCCGGAACGCCTGGGACTGGTACAAGGACTCTTCTCTGGGCTCAGCTGCTTCCCAGTGCTTGACACGGGAACAGATGTTTCCCCTGTACCGTGTTGCACTCGGGTCCCCCCAGCCTGTAACTTCAGATCTCAGTTGTTTGCCTGAAGCCACAATAATGGAGATTCATAAACTGAAAGTGGTTCTGCCGCGTGGCAGCCCTGGACAGCCAAGCGGAGGGATGCAGCCATCCCACAGGGATGCATTTCGTCTTGCACGACCCATATTCCCAGGTGCAAAATAATGCAAAGAAAATAAATTGTCACGGCCTACAGCGTGAGGCAGCAGACAGTACATCAGAGTGCTGGAGAAGAACCAGAAAAGGACAGTTCTGGCAGACACTTCTTTTAATTTGAGGTTTTTATTATTATTTGGGGGTAAAATGGAGAGAGGTATGTTGCTTTGTGCAGGGTGTTCTTTAGGAACAACCCTGCAAAGACAAGGATGGGTACAGATGGCTCCTTTCAAGTAGAAAGCTTGTCTTGGAGGGTTGCTTGCTTGGAAGCACTAAAAGAGCAGAGAGATGCTGCCAGTTCGTGCCCCACGGTGCGTTGCAAGATGTGTGGAAGGTGCACGGGCTTGCACATACCAGAGGCCGTTGGGCATCAGGCTCTGCCAGTCCCCTTCCAGCTGCCCCAGACAGGTACAGCCAGGGAGGAGAGCCCAGGAATCACAGCCTGTCCTACAGCAGGAAACATCTCTCTGCAGCACTGATGCCAGTGGGGCCCAATTATTTGTAACAGTGATACAAACAAGAGAAGCATCATTCTTAGAGCTTGGCTTTTCCACGAAACACGATTCAACCGCTGGTAACATTCTTTCAAAGATTTTTAGAAGATCTGACTTCGTTTTCTACTGAGCTGAGGATAGCAGTTTGCCTGGTTATTCCACTCCATGGCATGTCACTATCTCTTGGCGTGTGCAAGCTCTGCACATCCTTTCTGATCTGTAGACAGCTGTGATAAGCTGCTGAGCTGATAAGGGAGCAGATCGGCATCTGTCCTGTAAAACCCAACCTGAGTGGAAGTTCAGCTTTCCACCACGTAACCACCAGATGCCACGGAGCATCTGCAATTCATTTGGTGACGTTTTGTGGACACAGGCTTCTCTGTAGGCTCCTTAAAATGGAATTTGTAGCCATTGCCTCAATACCTATTGCTGGAAAAAGCAAATAAACCTCAGAGCACGGAGACCTGAGTCTGACCTGAGACAGAGCTGTGGCTTTTGTTCCTGGGGCTCATCTACTTTTTCCAAGTGTAGGAGCTGGTATTTTTAGCTGTGAACTTTGTTTTCCGATGGCCTTGGGCTGCTGTGACAGCAGTGAGTGAACAGCAGTGCAGCTAAGTCAGAACCTGACTGCTTCCTCCTTGAAACTTGAGTGACACTCAGGATGTAGATAAGTGAAATGGCAAATGCCATGCCACAGGTCCTTGGCCAGGGGACAGGGCTGACACTGCAAATGCTGCGCGAGGCCACCCACTCTTTCCCTGGTGGGGAGCAGCCCCCAGAACCCCAGGGGGAGATCCAGAAAACCAGGGATTTATACCCAGCCTGGGGAGCTCGGTGCTGTCCCAGGCTCGCCCTGGGGCCTGGCTTGCAGAGTTTGGTCCCTGGTCCCCATGGCATCCGCGTCCACACCATCTCCTAGCGACGGGGACGCTGCCACTGAGGCAGGGAATTGCCTGCCTGCCTGGGGCTGGATGGCAGCACCCGCCCGCTGCAGCGTCTCAGCTGCTCTTCGGGAGCACCTGCAGCACCTGGGTCTGCAGGACTTCCCCTGCGGCCTCGGCAGCTGGGTAAGGGGTCGGGGGGGCACAGCCATGGGGCGTGGCGGGGGGTCTGCAGGGCTGTCACTGCTGCTTCCCTCTCCTCTGCAGAACAAGTCCCGCTTCCATGCAGGCAGGAGCCGCCGCAGAGGCCGGCCAGGGCTGGGGGCAGACCCAGCGGAGCAGGAGGAGGCCGTGCTGCTGGGCCAGGAGAGCCCCGAGGCGCGGATGGAGCTGCTGAGGGACCCGCACAGCCCCTGGGCCCTGCTGCCAGCCTGCAGCCCCCAGGACCAGCACCTGCGGGAAATGGCCGTGCTGGCGCCTGAGCTCGTCCGCGGCTCCAGCATCTTCCAGGTCCTCCGGTCCCTGCGGATCGTTGGCAAGGGTGTAAGTGCAGCTGCCGGTGCCTGTAAAGCTACCCACGTCTTCCTGCTGGGAGGGAAAATATCCTGGGAAAAGGACACCTTCCCCATCTCAGGGTCTTCCCAGCTCCCACTATTGCAGCTGGGGTGGAGCTACTGGCCAACCCACCCAGCGTGTCGCGCTGATCCGTGTTACACGTATGTCACATGGATCCACACATGTTTGTGTCAACCGTGGCCATGAGGTGGCTTGGAGACACGTTGGCCAAACCTGTCTCTTTGCAGGTGGAGGAGGTCGATGAGGGTCTGTTGCAGCTGGAGCAGCTGGAGGAGCTCATCCTCAGTGCCAACTACATCAGCAGGATAAGTTCAGTCAACCTGCCCCGGACGCTGAAGGTGCGTGAGCGGTGCCTTGCAACGGCGGGACGGGGCAGGACGCCCCGTCTGGGAGCGCTGGGCGAGCCGAGCAGCTCGAAGGGGTGTCAGCACAGCAGTGCCTCGTTGCAAAGGGTGTTTGTTGTTCCCTCTGTCCGGGCAGGTCCTGGAGCTCTGCTGCAACGCTGTGGCTGATCTGCAGGACCTGTGCGCTCAGCCTCCTCCGGAGCTGCAGCACTTGGGGCTGGGATACAACAGGCTGTGTGGCCCTTTGCAGGACGAGTACCTCACTGCAAACTTCTGGTAACGCCACGGGATGAATGTGGGCTCCCGAAAGGGAGAGGGGGCAGATGTGAGCAGGCGACCTCAAGCCATCAGGATGGCCCACGTTAGGAAATTACAGCCCTTCGGCAGAGTTGTTTCTTTGCTCTGTGTCCAGCGCCTGTGCAGAGCGCTCTATCTCTTGTTTGCTGTCTTCTGTCTCATGCTTAGAGGGTGTCTTGGCCTGTGGCCAAGGTGTGGGAGGGGGCGATCACCTGGGGAACTGCCTTGACACCCTGCCCACCGCAGTTCCCATGTCCCTGGGCAGCTTCCTTCTTCCATGCTCTTCCCAAAGCCCCTGCTGGGAGTCTGTGCTGGGAAGGAGCTAAAGCTTAGGCTGCATCTCTGAATGACGCAGTGGGGTGGCTAATGGATGCTAAAGAAACAGGGGTTTGAGTTGTGGGGAAGACTGCAATGGACCATATGGCTCAGGAATTTCGTATTAGCCTCTTGAGATTGTACCCAGTTTGACCCATTTTGTGCTGGGGAAACACAAATTTTATTTCTTTTTTTTTGATCCAGGGCAGTAGTTCTCTATCCTCAGATGGATGTTATTTGCCAAATCTTCTTCTCTGGGTTCTCTCCTTAGGCCAAATCTTGTCTCCCTTGATCTAAGCTTTAACAACTTCACGGATCTGCTGGGGCTGGTCTCCCAACTGTCCAGTTTGCAGAAGCTCCGTGTCCTGGTGCTCCAGGGGAACCCGCTGGCTCTCATTCCTGCTTACAGAGGCTTCCTGGTGGACAGCCTGCCCAAGCTCTGCATCCTCGATGATATCCGCATAGGGCCTCAGGAGAGGCACCAGTTCCACGCTCTGGCGAGGCAGCCAGGTGAGCCTTTGCCTTTGGACCTGGATGTGCTGACCCCGGGGGTGGTTTCATTGTGGTTGAGCTAGGAGTCCTCAGGGCAAACTTGGATCCAGTATTGACATCCTTCCTGCCTCTCCTCAAATGGAGATCTTCCTCTGTGTCTTTTTACCCCACTAGTACACGTGGGGAGACAGGCAGAGGACCCTGCAGCATCGAGGTCGTTTTAGCCTTAGTCAGGTCCAAAGATTGCAAGAGCAACCTAGTCCTGCCACTGCCTCAGTGTCATGGCCTGCCCCCATCTTTGCTTCCTAGACACTGTCTGGTTTCAGATGGTGCATTTTCCTCTTTAGCTGCTGAAAGAGGAACATCTCCGCTGGGGAAGACGCTCACGGGTGCTGCACTGTCTGCACGAAGCGGTGCCACCTCTGCAGCGTGGCACGTCCCCGACTGGGACAAGAGCAGGGGGCTGGGGACACCCGGGGGTGGGAAGCCCCTCTGGATGGCCCCTACTCAATGAGTTCATGCGCTGCATGTGCTCTTTGGAGTCTAAAACGTTAACTAGGGAGGCAAAGCAACCAAGCCAGGAGATGTTTGCATGGCTTTGGAGTGACCCCATGTGGCAGTGGCTTGTCACAGCGTTAGCACAGCCTGGCAGGGAGGGATGCCAGGGGGCAGGACACGGCGTTTTGGAGGTTTCCTCTTGCTCTGTGCCTTCCTCCCTCTGGAAGCAGCTGCGGCTTGTCTTTCAGAGCTGATCAGGAGGAGCGAAGCACGAGTGGTTGTGAGTGTTGGGGAAATCAAGGGAGTCCCCGATCCCAGAGCTCTTCAGCAGCTGGAGGTTGGCTCTCAGGCTCCGGTGATCACCTACAGCTACTGTGTGACGTATGAGTTTGTGGAGGGAGAGGAGATCAAGGACGGTAGCAGCACTGAGGTTTGTGCTTAACTGAAGTCCTGAAAGCAACAAGCAGGTGACAGCAAGGGGGACTTCACCTCCAAGCTGCAGAGAGAGACCGTTTGTGATGAATCTGGTGTGGGCAGCAGCAGCAGTACTGGGGACAGAATTCACGTGTGGCCATATCTGGCAGGACAAGTCCCTGCTGCCCACGTTCCCCGTCCCTCTCAGGGTGCCCAGGGCTGCTCTGCACGTGGAAGTGCCTTCACAGCCCCCTTATGCTGACTGCGACAGACCCTGTCCTGGCACTGGTGCCCCTTCTTACCGTGATAAGGGTGGGCTGGGGAATGGAATTTCGGAGGCAGCTCTGCCTCCTTGTCCTGACTCAAACACATCCAGATAGGCCGTGCCAAGACATCCCTCTCTGTTCCAGGTAACAGAAATCCATCAGGATCCCGTGGTGGCCGCCCTGGATGTGGACAGATCTGCTCAGGACGTGAGAGAAACAAAGGGCCAGCAGGAGCCTGCAGCCATGGAGGAGCCCAAGGCTCACTCTGGTAATGAGGAATCATAAATCCCCTGCTCCAGTGCTCAGGGCAGGTTTACGGCTCTTCCTGGCACGTGATGGCATCCGGACATCCCTCACAGCCTTGGCTGAAGCTGGGCTGTTACTGAGATGGATAGAAAATGAATTGGCATTGCTTGTGTCCCAGGAGTCCTTCCTGTCCTTGGGAAGGAGAGCTCTCTCCTTAGAGTTTTTTTGTGTCCCTGCACAGCAAAGGTGTTTGTCACCCCCACGAAGCCCTGGGCAGACACCATCGACTGCAGCTACAGGAGGGAGCACACTGCCAAGGACTTAGTGGGGCTGAAGTCCTACCTGATGTCTGGAACAACCATCTCGGTCGTGGAAGAGAAGGTGAGTGTGTGGCAGAGCTGGATGAAAGGGGAAGGAGCTGCTGGGAGGCCCAGCAGTGGTGTTGTGTTCCCTCGGGGAGGCAGCCTGCGATGGCGGTGACCTGGGTCCTCAGGTGTCCCAGCCCCTGCAGCACCAGCTCCTCTCTCCGGGCAGGTGCTCTCCTGGCCTGTCGGTGCTGGTCCAGAAGAAAATAGAGTCATGAAGGACAAGGCAAGACAGAGGCTGCAGAAGGATGGTGCCAAGGTAGGATGCTGGGAGAGAACAATGTCCAAACACCATCTGAGCTGCAAAAATTATGATGAGGGAATGAGGGCCCTTCCCCTGGGCCAGTTTGGTGTGTCAGAGATCCCCTCCTCCATCCCAGACCTCTCGACAAAGTCCCCCCTCGCTATGGGAAGAAGGCAGCAGTGGTTTTACACCCATCTCAGTCTGGATGCAGCAGTGGGCAAGGGGCTGGGTCAGGGTTGCTTGCTGTCTGAGAAAGGGCCCCCAGCCCTCTGCTGAGGCTTGTCCCCGTGCTGCTGCCCTGCAGGTTCCTGTACCCAGGGTCAAGCAGAAAAAGGAGAAGCCACGTGAACTCCGCAGTGACCCTCCCATTCGGAGGACGCTGGGCACCGGGAGGGTGGCCCTGGAGGCCTTGCTGGCCACTGAGGACCTGGTGGCAACTGTGTGTGACTTTGGGGTCCTGATCACTGAGCAGCCTCTGCAGCCACCAAGCCTGGAGGAGACGGTAAGCAGCGTGTCCCGGGGCAGGGCGGTGAGGCAGGGCTGCCAGGGATGGGCTTCAGCACGTCCTGCCCCGCAGCTGGCCAAGGCATCCCTCCTGTCCATCCCTCAGTTCTCCTTGCCATAAAATGGGGCTGAAATAATCCTGCCTAAGCACCGTCCATCACTGCTGGTATCGCTGTTTAATGTTGATATTAGCAATGAGTACTGCTACTTTTTATAGGTCAAGATTAAGAAAACAGATGAGTTTATTTTTCCATCTGAGTCTATGAAAGCAACCACTCGTGCTTTCTCTGATGCTCTCTCTCTTGGCATGACAACATGCACCGGCTGTACCCACACTTTCTGTTTCCTGGATTCTCTTCTCTGAGCAGCCCTGCCACTGCGCTCCTGCTTTCCCTCACCCCTTTCCTTTGCCCTTTAAATCCCAGTGACAGACCCCAGATGGTGGTGGCTGTCACAGGACTGAATGCAGACAGTGTATTTCAACACGCTGTGGAAACATCCCTCTCCACAGGACAGGAAAGAAGGCAAAGAGAAGAGCAGAAAACCAAAAGCAGAGAGGGAAAGTCAGGCCGAGCAGAAAACCGCGGTGCCTGCCAAAGGTGACTGAGACTGGAGCTGGCTGAGTGGAGGGTGGCGTGTGCGAGAGCAAACAGCAGCGGTGCCCGGCCCCAGGCGGCCGCAGGGCGCTGCCAGCTCTGCCAGCTCTGCCGAGCAGGGCGCTTACTCACATCCTGAGCTTCGGGCTCTGAATACACCCATTGACTGCGGGGGCTGCGAGGGCAGACACGCACCCGCGCACCTTGTTGAATCGGTGTCTGGATGAGCACTGAGGGTGGGCTGCCGGCTGTCCCAGGAGCGACACACACACCTACCAGCTCTGCGTGCCAGGGGAGAAGGGCAAAGCAGGGTTCTGGGTGAGAGATGGGCTGCTCACTGTGTCGGCTGCCAACTGTGGCCGGTGGCGTGGGCAGCTGCGGGGAGTGCTGTCTGGGATGCATAATGAGGTCCTCGTCCATTTCCAACTCACATCTCCGAGCGCTTTGCGGAGGGGATTATTCCTTCTAGATTAGAGATGAGATGCACAGGGTGCCCCAGGTGTCCCAGCCAGCCCATGGCAGGGCTGGGAACAGCTCCCGATCTTCTGTCACCCATGAAGAGGACCCCCCCAACCCCTGACGGGTGACCCCCTGTGCAGAGCTCACAGTCTGCTCAGCCAGCAGCATTGCTTAATCCGCTGGAGACAAACCCCACTCCGCCTCTTGCAGGTTATTTTCCCAGCAATCTTGTTTTGACTACAAAAATTGCAGTGCCAGCTCATCAGAGGGATAGTGCAAGAGCAGGAGGAAGTGGGGGAGGGAAGGGGTGACAGGATGATGCTGACAAACTACTCATGGGTCAAGGAGAGCACAGAGCAGGCCGGATCTCCTCAGTGCTGCTCAGAGCTACCAAATGAGCCTTGTGTCCCTGCTCCGGCATTAGAATTAGTGAATAATTTAAGCGTGCAATTAACCCCCTTCCCCAAGAGCTCTGGGCTGCTTCTCCATGCCCCATCACCCATGGCAAGATCCCTGTCCTTGAGGAGGATCTAAGAGCCCTGCAGTCCTAGGCTGTGTCTGCACTCAGGGAAGCCTGACGGCCTTCCCAGCTACCTGAAAAGAAGCAAAACCTCCTTGAATGATTGTTCCCCACGAGAAGCTGTGTATTTGCAATCCATGCTCAGACTGCTGCTGAAGCACAGAGCTGCTGTCGAAAGAACTGAAGTTCGGCAGTGCCGGTTTTTTACTTCCTTCCCCGGCAGTGCCTGTGATCAGTGCATGTGCAGGAGGAGCTTCCCTTCAGCTGGACCAAGAACGAGCCCTTTCTGCTGGGGTTTGTGTGGCCGGAGATGGTGCTGCATGCACAGAAAACCGCTGCTGATGCAGGAAACCCAGAGTGATGAGAGACTGGTGCTTAATTTGGTGTGCTCTTACGGTCGTGCAGGTGGAGGCCGGCTGGCTGCACAGCTAAGGAGGCCACTGAGTGCGGATTTCAGAAAGTGCCTAAAAATCAGCTGCCCCCACAGCTTGCTACACCCAGTGCTGGCAGCGTCCCGTGGCCGTGCGCTCCGCTGTGACTCACAAATACACCCCGATTGCAGACACAGCGCGGGGGGGGCTGCTCAAGTGCTGCTGCAGGCAGTGTCTGCGAGCCCCGTGAGTCACCGAACTACCCCGTGGTCGTTGGGCGCTTGCTCATCACCCGGGTGCCACGTCTCACCGTGGAGCTGCAGCAGTGGCACGGGAACGGCTCCCGGCCCTCGCGCGTCCAGCGAGGCTGCGTAGGGACTCCCAGAGCCGGGAGCTGAGGCTGATTTGCATCCCTCAGTCGGCAAATGCACACAAATAATAAGTCCTCTCAGAGGAATTGGGATCCCTTCCAGACAGCTCAAAAGAGGAAAGGCAGCAAGCTTTGTCTCGAGCAAACAATTTGCCCAGACATTGAAGGATGTCTTCGGAAGTAGGCTCACGTAGGTCTCATTTTACCCCACACTTGATTTTCCAGGATCCTTGAAATGATTTATTTCTGCATCTTTCTTTTTTTCTTAGGAATTATAGGGGAATTTAACAGCAAAAAAACAAGATTGCATCCAGATCGGCTGCCTGCTTAAAGATGATTTTGGGATTTTTTTTTTACCCAAAATCATATTCAAATAGGTTTTCCCTCAAGGCCCGGAAGTCAGTGCTGACACAGTGGGCATTCCCCCCCTGCACACTGCTGCTTGTAAGGTAATTTACTCCGTCAAGACAGTGACAGATTTACTTCTTTCCACAGGAAAGATTAAAAACAAAGATTCTGCTGAACTGGAGGAGGGTCGAGGGCTCCAGCTGGTGCCGCTGACGGTTCAGTTCCAGATGCAGCTGCTTCGGTGGCCCCAGGCAGCGGGTACCCAGAGCCAGGAGAGCGTGGCGGCGGCGGTGGGGAGCACTCAGTAATGTGTCTGTACCAAAAGAGTGAGTGGGAAATAAAACCCCCGGGGACGCTGCGGGGATGCTGGTTCAGCTGAATCGCCAGAGCTGGGAGATGCCACGGGGCCTGTGGTCGCCTGGGGCTGCTGCTGGGCTGGTGTGGGGTCTGCAGGGTGGGGTCTGCAGGGTGGGGTGTGCAGTGTGGGGTGCGGTGCCTGCGCGACGGTGGGCGTGGGAGCGCCGCGAGTGGAAAGTGTAAGAGCGCAGGTCTAACTCCCAGACGGCTTGTCTTCCTCCGAGGGCACAGGGCTGGGCAGCGCGCCGCGGGCTGCCATGTATCCCAGGATTAAAAACCTCGCACTTTATGCCTTTTCCGTCATGCTGCTGGCGTGGGTTTTTTACATGAAGAAAGAGGCAAAGCTGGCAGCGTCGTCCACACACCAGAACGCGGATGTAGCGAAGCACAAACCGAAGTCTTTGGATCTGGACAATGCTGAACCCACCAAGTGTTTGCCAAACTTGACCCTTGCCAATTCTTCTCTCACCCTCCCAGAGCTTCACCGTGTCTTCTTAACATACAAGCACTGCCGGAACTTCTCAGTCCTGCTGAAGCCTTCCAGGTGTAGCAAAGAGACGTTCCTCTTGCTGGTGATCAAGTCTTCCCCGATCAACGTAGACCGGCGGGTGGCAATCAGGAACACGTGGGGGAAGGAGGGCTCCATCCGTGGCAAGCACATCAGGCTGGTGTTCCTTCTGGGGCGCTCGGAGGCCAAAATCCAGGTACAGTCTCTTCACCAGCTGCTGGCTTACGAGAGCCAGGAGTTTGATGACATCTTGCAGTGGGATTTTGTTGACAACTTCTTCAACTTGACCCTCAAGGAGCTGCATTTCCTCCGCTGGTTCATGGAGGACTGCCTGCACGCCAGGTTTGTGCTGAAGGGCGATGACGATGTCTTTATCAACACTTACAACATTGTTGAGTTCCTCCAAGAACTGGACCCTGAACAGGATCTCTTTGTTGGGGATGTGATCACCAATGCCCGGCCCATCAGGAACACCAAGGTCAAATACTTTATTCCAGAGTCGATGTACAGAGCCTCCTTCTATCCCCTCTATGCGGGTGGAGGGGGCTACGTGATGTCTAGAAAGACAGTGCGCCGCCTCCAGAGCACCGCAGAGGACATGGAGCTCTTCCCAATAGATGATGTCTTTGTGGGAATGTGTCTGGCAAAGATGGCAGTGACCCCAAAGAACCACGCTGGCTTTAAAACTTTTGGGATCCAGAGGCCTTTCAATTCTTTTGATCCTTGCTTGTACAAAGAGCTGATGATTGTGCACAAACTAAACCCGACCGAGATGTGGATCATGTGGACGCTGGTAAGGGATGACAGCATCAGGTGTGCGGTGTCGGTAACGCACAGCTACGGAAGGGGCTGGCAAAGAACCTACTGATGAGCACAGCTGGATTGTGACTGGTGACAGATGCAGGGTACTTAAACTAAAAATCAGGTTGTGGTAAAAACGTGTCCTCTACTAACAGACTAGACTTGAGCCCTCGGGGTTTGTTTTGCAATAAGTCTTCTGTTGGCAGGTTACTGAAGCAGTTGAATTGCCATGGGGCTGGTAGCCCGGTGAGACACAGCACAGGGGACTTGGCTCGGTTCCTCCCGGCCAGGCTGGAGCCAGAGGAAGTCACAACCGCCACAGCGACGTGGGCGAGGGGCCACTTGCTATGGAGGCTCCGCCACACCGAGGTGGGTTCTGACTGCCAGCCACAGTCAGTCTCGTGTAGGAAAGCTGCTGATGGCTAACGAGTGACAGAGCATTGCGATTACTTGAAGGGGTGAAAGAAAGGCCAGCGTGTGCTGCTGGGTCCACTGCAGCACAGCTCTGCTGCCCCAGGTCAGCAATCCCAACAGGTCTGACTGGACAGTGGAGAAAGGGAGTGGAGCGGGGGGAAAAAAAAATAACGCCTCAAACCGTATTGCCTTAACACAGCATGATGATCCGGACTGGGCTCCAGCTCAAGCCCTTTGGATTTTACAAAAGTTCATTACATGTTTACTTGCACTGGAAGTTTTTGCACAAACAGTTTCTGACTGGGTTTGAGAGGAGCAGTATGTCTTAAATAATCAGAGTGGTAGTTAATGGTGGCTGTAGCTTCTCATGTCGTGTGGGAGGTGTTTGGGTTTTTCATTGTTGTTGTAATGTTGGTTATAAATAAAATACAGTTTTGAAAAATGTTTTCAGAGGAGTATTCTCGAGTCTCCTGAAAACTAAGAGCACTAAAAGCCAGAGAAGGATGAGATTTGGTGCTGGGTGTTTGCATTAAGGAGTCGTTAGTATTAAAGAGGACAAAGTTAGGTGGAATTGGATACCTGCCGTTTCCTTTACTGCGAGCAGCTGCCGTTCTCTGCCCCTGTCCAGCCAGGATGGATTGATACAGAAGCAATTAATCTGTGAGTGCGCTAGAACTGCTGATTTGAGAAAAGAGAAATATGAAATTTAAGATTTGGTGATACTTTTATGCAGCTCATCAGCTTCAGGCTGTCTTGCTGCTAGATCAGCAGCTGCTGTGCTGTGTTTAAGCAGGAAGCAGCCTGGAAGCTTTAGGGAAAAGTAGCGGGTAGAGAAAAGTATGTGATTACAGAAATCAGAGCAATTAGTGTTGTGCTGTTGTCACTGCTGTCCCTAGTGCCAGCTGCCGAGCGTTCACTGCTCATCAGATGTGAGCTGGAGCTTTCAGAGGTGCCCAGGAAGATCCTTGCTTCTACTGCAGGGAGCCCGAGGCCATCCCGAGCCCGGAGATGTGACGAGCTCTCAGGGCAGGCTGGCTGTCCTGCGGGGCGGTGCAGTGCTGTACCTCAGGCCACTCCTCGTTTGATCCTGTCTCTCACCGCCTTGGCTTTCTAAAGCTCCCGGTGTAGCTCTAGCTTAGCCCCCCAGCACGACCCAGGCTCTTACGGTGGGAGTTGCCACTCTCACACAAGCTGTTTCCGCACCAGATGCGAGTCAGTGTTTACAAAAATTGCTCTTCCAAGGGTGAGCCTGTGTGTGCCCATCCTCAGTGTGGTCTCGTACAAGCTGCTGCTGTGTCTTCTCACTGCAGCCCCAACAGGGATTAATTAGCTGTACCTGAGAAACTGTCTACACCTAGTTTCAGCTAGGCTGGGTTTGTAAACAACCTGAGTATCAGCAGCAAAACCTCATTTCTGGGCACTGTTCTCTGGGCACCGCTGCTTGTTCTAGAGAAGAGACTGGTCAGCGCGGGTACCATGGTACCCTGTGAACTGCTGTGGCAGCATTTTTCTGATCCACTAGATGATTCCAAATGCAAACTCAGTAACATAATGTAGAGCGTGATGTCATGTCTGTTGTGGGCTTAGGTGTATGGGCTAACCCCCAACAGGCAACTCTCATTTCCTAATAAAGGTGTGGGGCTCTTATCCACTCTATTTTGGAGGCGATATGGAGCCAGTCATGCTCTTCGCTCCCATTTTGACTTGTCTGAGCTGACTGGTTGGTTCCTGTCATGTCTGAAGGTTGGAAGTGTGGGGGTACAGCCCCGTCTTGCAAAGTAAGAGCAGGGTGGACAGGGAAATGAGAAGCAGGGCAACAAGGGGGAGCAGGCTCTGAAAGCATGAGTTCCTTTGCAGACTCCTGTAACAGTGCTCATCTGTCTTAAGCCGCATCTCTGCCATGCAAACATCTGAGTAGAGTTGTTATGGCATCCTGAAAGGAACACAACCTGTATGTGCATTTGGGTCAGTGGTTTGGCAGATGTTCTTAAACCGCAGCACGTAACAAATCAGAGCAGTTGCGGTTGGAGGCCGACCTGAAGTTGCATTTGAATCTTGAGGGCGTGGTTGTGCCACTGCTGCAAATAATCCTCTCACGATGGTGGTTTATTTCCTGATGCTGCGTTTGGGACCTCCTGACTACTGGCACATTCCTGCGAGCTCGAATTCTGCACTGTGCCATCCTTCTTGGATACAGCAGCACCCAGCAAGGAGCAGGAGCAAGGAAAGGTGGTCTGTTAATTCCTTTACTATTTAATCATAACTGTACAGCACTGTGCAGCTGAGATGGCATTTGTTCAAAAGACTGGCAAAATGAGACGTCGATAGAAGGGCTTATGCTACAGCTGAAAAAAATTCCTAGTCAAGCACAACTCAGTTTAGTAACAGCAACCTCGGCACAGATGTAGTGCATCAGATGCTAATTTGTGGTGAAAAACCTATGATTAATGTGTGTTTTCTTACAAAACCTGATGAATAGGGATTAACCGGCTCAAATCAGCAGTGATAAAGTTCTAGCAGATGCTGTTCTACAGAGCAATGTCAGCTTAAGTTTACATTGTCTCTACAGTTAATATTGCAAATTTCACATTAACCTGTCAAGTTAGAAAATGAACACGGTGAAAGACACCTGTGGTTTTGAAGTCTACAGTGAAACACTAAGCTTGCAAAAAGAGAGAATTATTTTCCTGGAACTAGCGCTGGAAAGCGTTCAAATGTGCAAAACTTGCTTTTGCTCATTGCTTTGTAAAGAAGTATACAGCAGTTGCCACAAAAACTTTGTTTATAACTACCTTGAAAAATCTTGAAAATCAGATCTCCCTTTGCTTCCTGGGGAAGGCAGATGAGTTACAAGCGGTGACTCTTGGGTGACAGAGGTTCCTGTACTGAACTGTAAAACTTCACTAAGAAGAACCTGGGTAACTCCAGAGTAAGTTTTCAGCTCTACAGCAGATGTTTCCCCTGCTTGCAATTAAGTCGAATAAGTCTTCAGACTCAGCTCTCTTACAAACTTTTAAAATTAAAACAGAAAACGGGGCTTAATCTCTTAACCAAATGGGCACACCCACAACAGATGCTTTTGCACAGTTTAATAAAGGTATCTCCTAACAGATATCACTTACTTCACAGGTTAAAAATAGTGACTTTTAACTACACCTCTTTGGTTGATACCTAGTCTGTAAGTTAGAGCTCTCACAAACATACCAAACACGTGGTAGGACCCTCCCAGCAGAGAGACAATTAACAAGCTATCCTTGATAGCAGTTTTCACATTTGCATAGTTAAACATTTAAATAATTGAATCCGTAAGTACGACAAACATGATAAGTTACAAACAAGATCAAGGCCTTTCAGATATTTGGAATTGTAAAGCAATCCTGTTCGGGGGATACAAATGGAATCATAGGCTTATTTCAGCAGTTTTGCACTATCCCACACTTAAAAGTTTGGGACCCTTGAATCTGTGATTGACCCTCACGTATTCTACAGTGACACCTGAAGTCCTTTTCAGTCCTCCCGAAGGTAAGGGTCCTCACCTGCCTCTCTGCTTCCTAAAATACCCTGTGGCAGTGAAGATTCCTCGCCTTGAGCTTTTATGAGCTCTTCTGTTTGAGCTTCAGCCAACTTGGTCTCTGCTTTCTGGGACAGCTGTCGCACTTCTTGCACCTGTGATTTCACCAGCTGAATGTGGCTGCGGGCTGTCACTGAGGCTTGGTCTGCACCTGAGAAACAACAGTTTAAATACGCTGGGTTAGAGGAGCACTCAGCAACCCTGCAATTAAGGAAGGGATTATCTGTAATTATAATCTGCTTTGCTAAGTGTTTTGGTGGCTCTTGGGCTATATTAATGCTAAATGCATTTACCGTTCGTTTAACTTAAGTGACAATATGCCTACTTTGCCCCCCTTGAATTCTTCCCACCCAAGAGGGTTCCAGCCAGTGTCTGAGCAGTGACCAGCTTGTGCCAGTGGGTTTGAGAACTGAGCCCAGCCCAGGCACCGTGTGCCAGGAACTTTCAGTCCTTGTCCTGTCCCCTACCAGCAGCAGGAATGTCTGTGGCACTGCTGAACTCAGAAACCCTTCTCCTCCCACACTCCTACAGATCCTGTGTCTTCAGGCACTTACAGAGTTAGGAGTGTCCCTGTATACCCACCACTTCCTTCACCTTCTCCACTCCAGTAACTTTGCTGATTTACTGTAAGTCAGCCCGTAACTCAATCTCGGAACTATCAGGTCTCTCTACATGTTTTGTGGAAGTGTGTATACAGGGAGAAAAGACTAAAGTTAGTATCCTTCCTGAGTGAAAAGCAAATATTCTCACTCTTCAATAAAAGTGAATCCACCTAGAGAGATCTGCTGGATCCTTACTTCCGCAGCTCCCGTAACTGTTTCAATGCTCCATTTAAAAATGACTAAACACTTGCTTCAGACATTTCTTTTTCACGGTTGGTCTTAACCTAAACCACCTGTGAAGTTTCTAGGCTTAGTTCTCAGAACAATTCTACTTGACTCATAGCCAGTAAAAGAATGTAAGTTCTCACTGTCTCTAAAAACCAGGCACTGGTTATAAATTGGCATGTTAAATGTATTTATGTCCTCTGTCTCTGTCAACTCCATTCTCATTCAATAAATACTGCCTAAATGCTAGAGGAAAGAAACGCTACGTATTTCTCCTTGTGTTTACCTGATTGATACGCAGCTTCTGCTGCCATCTCTGAAAGACTTAGCGCTGTCATCCAGCTGGATTCCAGCCTTAGATATTCCTGCTGTTTTGTTGTCATCTAGGAGTAAAACAAAGTATTACTTAACTCGATGTAACAGTATCCGAATGCTCTTCCAAACAGTGTCTTTGTGAAAAAGTGAGCAAGCAAGAGGAGAACTTTCTGAGCAATTATACGAGGCAGATTGCTGGCTGAAGGGAGATGATGGCTTACATCAACTCTGGCTCCTATTACCACCTGCCAGACCGCATCCACTTCTTCTGAATTCATTTTCCCAAGAAGGTTTGAGTATTGCTTGTAGAGAGACACCAGTGTATAAACTGCCTGCAAAGGAAGCATTTCACACAATTAGGTGACAACCTACACATCACTGATGTCTCAGCGTTAACTGATTTTCATTAGCAAAATTGCTGAATAGTTCTAAAGGTGCTTTGTTCTCAAGTTCACTGCAATTCTGGAGGCACTGACAGCATTTGCTGTCTGCCTACAGCAGCGCTGTGGGTAGCACCTCTTTGTATACTTGCACAGTAATAAGGCAGTAAACTGGAATGCAAATACTTTACTCAAATTGGCACTTATTTATAGAATTAAAACTGTATCTTGTTGTTTCAGACTTAAATATGGCTCACGCCATTCTTCTGATAAAACTCAAGTTCACAGCCTTAGAAATGGGCACAGAAGGTAAATA